CATTGACCTTGAAGCTTAGCTTCGTGATGGACGTTCTTACGGCAAAGGAGGAAACCATTCGGAGGACGAGTTGGCGGTGTCATCCTGGTATAAGAAACGGACAGCAGGTTCTCGGGGTCGTTCAATCGAGGCGGGAATATTTTATTTCGATCGAGACGACTCATCAGGCTGTCCGCTAAGTAATCCAGAGAGAAATCCGTGGTAGACATTGTCGAATCTGTTCGATTACGTTGAAAATTGTAAAATATTCTGTTCAAAGTTCTTACTTGACGCTGTGGTTTTTCTTTTCGAAAAAAATGTGTACCTTTTCCAGCTTTATAAGAAAGTTTTTTGTCATAACCGCTGAGCCGCACATCGAATTGAATGGATTTGATTTCTTTTTTTCTTATCTTTTTTTTCTTTTCTTTTCGGACTTTATTCTGATCATCGCTTTATGCGTGGAGAGATGACACATTTAGTTTGAATGACAGGCATCTTATTCTCATCCTTCTTCGGATTTGAACAATGGTTTACGTGTGACAACGACTTTCATGAATTCATTTCTTGATTTATCAAATGAATGAATGAGAGAACTAAGGTCACTCCGTGGATCACGTGATACATACATTAAAATTTCGCTGAGTTGATGATCATGATGCTTGTAGGGTGGCGGAGACTATAATCCAACCATAACTGTATGTATGCATATGCAACCGCTGGGCTATTCAACGGAGTTTTTTTGTTTTTTTATTTTCCACAATTTACCATCATTTTGAATATATAAGTATATGTGTTCGATCTCTAATTTATGTTTGTACTTTGAACATATTCGCCAGAAATCATGCATGCACACCTAAGTTTATCAGGTAATAATATTTCAATTTAAAATTTTGTTAATAGGGGGGTCCTTTATCGCCATCTTTTCATAAGATCAAGTATGGACGAACTTTAGATCTATTTTTGTGTTCTTATTAAAAGATGTTCTCTTCATTTATAATTTTGGAAACGCCACATTCAAATTAATTTCGTACTCTGGGGTAAAAATATATAATTGGGTTACGTATAAAGATTTCTTATTTTACGAAAAAAATGAATGATCACGATCAACCCGTCATTTCAGATAAGCCAGTCTGAAGGAAATCCATACACGTTCTACAAAGGTCAGAGAACGTATGCGTGCGACAGTCTCTGTGAAGTTCCAATGCTGGCTTAAAATTGTCCCTTTCGAAGATTATGTATGACCGAGAGGTGTATAAAGAAGTCGTCGTTTCGTGCGGCAGTTTGAAAAATAAAATATCCGCCTCCGACTGAATCTGCGAATATGAACATGATGTCCTTGCATACATACATGCCCCTCATACGTAAGGCTCCACGGGATCTATATGAAAGATGCAATGGTGTGACCATGTGCATAGTTTTAGGGCAAATACTACGATTCCTACTTTGTAGGTTTTCCGATGAAAATCCTCTCGTAAAGAATGATTAAGCGTATTCATTTCATTATGCTTACAAATCGAACTATGACATCGATTGTGTTACAACTTCCCGGAATCTACAGATCCGTGAGATATTAATTCTTTGATCAATCTGTAAAGTTTGTACCCCAGGGTCTAATATAATTGAACCAGTACCTATTTGTTCTCATGCCTTTGATGCCTCACCTTAACGGTCATGGAACACTGAGAATGACGATTTTAAAATAAAGCGATCATCGTGTTTCACTCCGCTTTTTCATCGACACGCTGATAGTTCTAAAGATTTGGAACCTTCATCAGAGGTATTTCATCGCGCAAATTTTCTTGAGTATTACAATGTTCAGAATTTAGATGCCTGTTTCTTAAAGTAACCATACTGACTGATCAATTCTTCTTTTTGATGTTCTTCCCCTTTTCTATCCTCAATATAGGAAAATTTATTTTTAGCTCCTCGCGAAATGCTAACCATTTTCATCTTTGAAATTTTTTAGGGAATCGTTGATTCTAGTCTAACTCCATATTATAATTTAGCTTATTATTTCCAATTGAACAGCTTCTATTGACCTAATCCGCTAGGCAAAATGAACAAACAGTTGCTCTATCAACTACGGCAAAATGTTATCATACGAACATTGTTAAATAAAGTCAACGAGGTGATCGTTCTCAATGATAATATAGAATTTCCACGATGAGTCGACAGAAATTTCCTTAATTATTTATATTATTGCGTGAAGATCACCGGTTTTTCCGGGGCCTACCTTCTACTGGATAATTAATTAAGCTTGATGTACACTCCCCTGACGAAATTAACAAAAATTTATAATTTCAATCCAACTTCAAAAATCTCCCATCCACCTTAAATTTTATAAAATTCTTATCAATATCTATTAACACTCTTGAATTATTTCTATACAACTTTTCATCTCAAAATTATCTCCCAAATTACATCTTCATAATATTAAATTTTATCTTTAAACGATAATCTGTATTTAAGATATAACTTTATTAAAAAACAATTGAACATATCTGGATTTGTTCTCTTAACAACATCATTTTTAATTTTATAATATTATCTGCTCAACAAATGTTAAATAACAAATTTAAGAATTTCTCTTAAACAACTTTATCACACTTCAATAGCATTAACATTATAAGTGTACCAAAAAAACTATGCTCAAATTTCAAAGCCATTTTTTAAATTTAAACAAACGTCTAACTATATTATACAATAAAATCAAAAATCAAAATATAATTATATAAAAAAATATTTTTAAAATTATCGCAATTAAAAATAAAAGCAAAAAAATTAACAAAAAATCAAATATATTTTTTTTAATTTTAAAATAAAAAATTAATTTATTAACAAAATATCAATTTTTTAAAATAAATATTTTTTTATAGTTTCTTAAATATAAAATTTTATGCAAGAAATTAATTGAACTTTTTTTAATTATAGAATTATTTTCAAAGCTGAAGTACAAAAAATTTACAATTTTGATTAACTATATTAATATATTTTATATTCAATTAATTAAATTAATATTTAAAATAATTAGATTATATTATAAAAAATCTTTTATCTTTTTAATAATTAAAATCAAACCAAAATTATATTAATAAAAAATACAGTATATTAAAAAAACTTAAATTTGATTTTTAATAAACTTAATAATATATTAAAATTTTTTTATATATCTAATTAAATTATAAGTAATTGAGTTTATTAATATTTATAAAAAAAGTGATAATACAAAAATATTATATAATATAACTATTATACTATTAATTAAACCAGTTTTATTATATTCCAGTTCAATATATACTTTTATTTTTAAAGAATTAGTTAAATGTTATAGTTTTAAGTGATTTGTTAAATAGCATTCAACAGATAAATATTTTTTAGTTTTTTAATAGTTTTAATTTTGTTTTATGTGATAAAGTTAATATTATTAATTATTACTTGATTATCTAATAAAATTATTATCTATTATCAGGAAATTTTTTTGGTGAAGATCTCCGGAGATCTCCACCCATAAAAAAATTTTCGAAAATTTCCGGAAAAAACTTCAAAAATCTTTAAAAATTCTTGAAAATTTCTAAAATAAAAAATTTTAATAATAAAA